GCATCCTTCCATCATTACCCTAACACCAATGAGATAGTCCTCAAACCACAACAGCATAGGCATCTCTTCGTTGTCTGCTAGGCCAAGTTCAAAAGTAAGCTGCAACTCTATCTGCATCAGGCTTATAGCTTGGTCGGTCACCCACGTCCACATCGGTTTCTTGAATCCTAATCGCTTGCCGTAGTTGATCTCGAGCATTTCATCCATTCCCAATCCCTGAAAATGAGGAAAGTCTTCCACATCGCTCCACACCGATAGAAACCCTCCCACTTGAGTTTGCATGAAGTTATACTCCGGGATGAGCTTAGGGATGCTCCTATGCTGTCTCGATCGGCTCTTCAAAAGAGTCCGCGCGCGCAGCTGCGTAAGCCGAACACAGTTAGCTAACACGTCGGTCGAGATGTCTCTATGGGCCGTCCACAGATCACTGGGCACACCAAAGGACTCGAGGGAATCCTGACAACCGAAGAGGGGTAGTAGAAGTGGAAATACAAACACACGAGAGAAACTCCAACGAATTGGATTACACGTGTAAAAAATTCGAATAATATTTTTATGATCGTCCTCGGAAAGTTTTAGGGAATCTCCCAAAACGATATATAATCGATAAAACGAAATCATCACCGCCGGCAATATTTCCAGCCAGAAGCAGATCATTCAAGGATGGACCTCTCTTGAATCTTTCACAGTTGGACCTAAGATTCCTCTTCTTACCTTAACAAGAGCTTCCACGTCCACAGTGTCCATCAATCTCAAGCTAATAATCGCCCGAACAAGAGGCTGCTCACTGGCACTGCCGTGTCGAAGGTCTTCCAGGAAATGTTCCAAGTTATCGAGACTGGTGATCCTCGATAAACCTTCAAAAGCATAGCCGATATCAGTCAGCAATGAGTCCATGCTCGAATAAGCATCTTCACGACTCAACGAAGGTACTTGGCGGGGCGGTCCTAACACCATCCAATAATTCCAAACCCTCCTCCAATAGACCCGCACAAGTTCTATCCTCACCTGGAGGCATGTCGTTATTATTAATACTGGCATCAAAAAGCCTATCAAGCTGCTTCCTCCTTTCCTCCTCATCTACCAACACCCCATCATGACCAGCCCTTTGCAGAGCATCCAACACCTCGTCGACCACAGTCTTCTTGCAACCCTCATTCTTGCTGTTCTTAACACACTCTAACATTTCCTCCAGCTCTTCAAGAAGCGCTATTCTCCCACCCAGGCAATCGGTCACTACAGGGAGCTTCTTGGGCTCCAAGTCGGCTCCCAACAGAGCCAGAGGCGCGTCTTCATCAGCGATAACGTCAGATTCGAGCATGATCTCTCGAGCCAGCCCAGAGCATCTCAACGCCAAATTGAGGAAGTACTTCAGACCAGCGTGGCGAACCGCGTCCAAGTGATGACACAACAAACAGGACCAGACCGTCTGCAACGTCGTGTTACCATTAAAATACAAATACATCATAGCAAGCATGCCGTCAGCCACATACTTTGCATCTGCGTCACTGAGGTCGCCGATCGTATCGATGACCTTCTCGAGGTTGGCAGGAGTCTGCAAGCCAACGTCCATCTTGGGCTGCATAAGCTCAATAGCGCTCATCGCCTCAAAAGGGCTGTAGTCCTCGCCATGAACGAGTTGGCCCAAACCCATAGAGGAACACGCTTCAGTGATGGGCTCGGTGATGTCAGTCCAGTCA